TTGATGTTAAGAGATATTATCGATCATTTGATCGTTTAAAGGTAATATTGATTGATACATTTCATTCAGATTACATTGTGTCATCATCTTAACGAATTTATTATTATTATTATTATTATTATTATTATTATTATTATTATAGTAGAGTAGAATAAGACAATGGATTGTAGGATTTAATATATTCGTGTTTCTATAATGCAGTAATACTGTTTAGTGTTGGGGATGGTTGGAAGAAAGTTAGGGGTGACCAAACCAAAACGTGGCATCAATCCTTGATATCACTAACTTCTAATCTGGTTCATGAAGGTAGATGCAGACTACTTAGTTGGGGTCTGCACGACTATCGTAACCAATGATTGGAGACTCTAGGTAACATGGTTCAGAGTCGATCACAATGGTGTAGGTGTATACACTCTCTGTCGTCCATTAAACTATAAGATTAAAATTGCTACTAATTTACTCTTTCTTCCTTATATGCAATCCTTCTTCTATACATTACTACCATTGAAGAAACTACTTCTATGAATTTGATGTTAATCTTGTTGTGCTAATGAGGTATGGCAACTTGGACCGATGCATATATGTGCCTGGTCCTACATTGTAGCTGACTGAATAACTTATATAATGCAATACATATCTTTTGATCATTCATTTGAATTTCGCGGTATGTTCTACAACCTGAATTGTTTTTATGTTTACTCTTCAAATGTTCTGTCCATGTCGTACTTTTGATGTACTGAAACTCTTCACCTTGCCTAACGACTGTGACAGGTTGGAAGTCAGGTTCCACTACAAACTGCTTATGAACAATCTTATGAGTAATGTCCGCCACAGTAGTATACTTCTAATTTACCAATCACGAAACTGTCTTGAATTATCAGTACGAGGTTGTGGAGATTGTTGAATTGTGTTGAAATCGTGAACATAACTAAGTTAAACCATCATTGAAAACTAGGAAGCACTAAGTTGCCGTTTCGTCCCGGAACGGGACTCCTTAATGGTAGTGGGCATCTACGACCTTGCACGTGTGAATCGAACCTAGGAACTTCATTCTCACGCACGAATGCTTAACTTATAAACCACTTAGCCTGGATCGAGCATTCTCTCTACTTAATTCACATCGGTGTTACATTTAGTAATATTATTATGTATTGGATTTTAAGCTGGTGAAAAAATTTTACTGACTCTACATAACACCCGAATTTCGTTATTTTCTCAAAGTAGAACTCTTTTGAAATCCACCTTATCAAAAATGGATCACTAACAAAACTAAAATTACTCTAAAATACGAACTACTAAGTTTTATTTTGCTTTTTCTCCCTCTAAAACCATGTGCAAATTTAATATATGATTTCTTTACATTGGTTTCCAGGTGAACCAAACACCTCCAGACTTTCACGTGACAACCCAAACAGTACACCTCAATCCCGTTTAACATGAGAGCCAGACACCGCTCAGTATTAAAATTTGTAGCCCAAATAGTACGACTCAATCCCGTTTCCAGGAGAACCAGACACCATCCAGGTTTAAACTTTATAACTCAATCCTGTGGTGCAACCACACAGGTACCAAGCACGCTAATTTACTTACTTACTTACTTACGCCTGTTACTCCTCGTGTAGGAGCATAGGCCGCTCACCAGCGTTCTCCATCCAACCCTGTCCTGGGCAATCCTTTCTAGCTCCGTCCAGTTGTAATTCATCCTTTTCATATCTGCTTCTATTATCCGACGCAATGTGTTCTTTGGCCTTCCTCTTTTTCGCTTCCCCTCAGGATTCCAAGTTAGGGCTTGCCTCGTGATGCAGTTTGACGATTTGCGTAATGTATGTCCTATCCATTTCCATCGTCTTTTCCTAATTTCTTCTTCAGCTGGAAGTTGGTTTGTTCTCTCCCACAGAAGGCCATTGCTGATGGTATCCGGCCATTGGATGTTAAGTATCTTGCGTAAACAGCTATTTATAATTACTTGTACTTTCTTGATTGTGGTTGTTGTAGTTCTCCAAGTTTCAGCTCCATACAGTAGAACTGCCTTGACGTTCGTATTGAAGATTCTCACTTTGATATTGGTTGAAAGTTATTTTGAGTTCCATATGTTCTTCAATTGTAGGAATGCGACCCTTGCTTTACCGATCCTCGCCTTTACGTCTGCATCTGAGCCTCCTTGTTCATCGATGATGCTTCCCAGATATGTGAAGGATTCTACATCTTCCAGAGTTTCGCCATCAAGAGTGATTGGATTGCTGTTCTCCGCTTTGAATTTGAGGACCTTAGTTTTCCCTTTGTGTATGCTGAGGCCTACTGATGCAGAGACTGCTGCTACACTGGCTGTCTTCATCTGCATCTGTTCGTGTGTACGTGATAGGAGGGCTAGGTCATCTGCGAAGTCCAAATCGTCTAATTGATTCTGAGCTGTCCATTGTATTCCGTGTTTTCCTTCAGATGTTGAGGTCTTCATAATCCAGTCGACCACCAGGAGAAAGAGGAAGGGAGGGAGTAAACAGCCTTGTCTGACTCCGGCCCTTACTTGGAATACATCTGTCAGCTGTCCTCCATGCACTACTTTGCACCGTAGTCCGTCGTATGAGTTCCGGATTATATTGACAATCTTCTCAGGAACTCCGTAGTGTCGAAGAAGTTTCCATAATGTCCTCCTGTCTACACTGTCGAATGCCTTTTCATAATCAATGAGGTTGATGTATAATGATGAGTTCCACTCAACTGATTGTTCGACGATGATCCGTAGTGTTGCAATTTGGTCTGTGCACGACCGATCCTTACGGAATCCAGCTTGTTGATCTCGAAGTTGGGCGTCTACTGCATCCTTCATCCGGTTCAGCAACACTCTGTTGAAGACTTTCCCTTGTATTGACAGTAGTGTTATGCCTCTGTAGTTTTCACATTTGCTCAGATCTTCTTTCTTTGGAATCTTGACGAGGTGTCCTTCTTTCCAGTCCATCGGCACTTGTTCCTCCTCCCAAATCTTTTTGAATAGAAGATAAAGCATGCTTGTGGTTGTTTCGATGTCTGATTTCAGTGCTTCAGCTGGTATGTTGTCGGGTCCTGCTGCTTTTCCGTTCTTGATTTGTCTGACGGCCATTCTAATTTCTTCCGTAGTTGGTGGATTGACATCTATAGGAAGATCTATGTGTGCTGCTTCGATGTCCGGTGGATTCATTGGAGCCGGCCTATTCAGGAGTTCCTCGAAGTATTCTACCCATCTGTTACGTTGTTGTTGAATTTCGGTGATTGGCTTGCCTTCTTTGTCTTTGACCGGCCTCTCTGGTTTGACAGTATCTCGAAGGAAGGCTGTATTGAACCTTTGTATTGCTGTTTGTCCACTTGTCTAGTTCTTTTTTAGCTTCAGTTTCAAATTGGCTACAACTAGGTGGTGATCTGAAGCTACGTCAGCACCTCTCCTGGTTCTCACATCTTCCATTGTCCTTCGGAATTTTTTGTTGATGCAAATATGATCTATTTGGTTCTCTGTAGTGTGGTCCGGTGAGATCCATGTAGCCTTGTGTATACGCTTGTGTGGAAATATTGTGCCTCCTATGACCAATTTGTTGAATGCACATAGATTTGCAAATCTTTCTCCATTTTCGTTTCTTTCTCCCAGTCCATGTCGTCCCATAATATCTTCATATCCAGTGTTGTCTATTCCAACTTTGGCATTTAGATCTCCCATTAGAATGGTGAGGTCCTTTCTTGGGCATTTCTCTATCACTGACTGCAGCCGCTCGTAGAATTGATCTTTAATGTCGTCGTTGCTATCATTGGTGGGTGCATAACATTGGATAATATTCATTAAGATCCCCTCCTTCTTTGTTTTGAATGATGCTTTGATGATTCTGGATCCGTGAGATTCCCATCCTACAAGTGCATTTCGTGCTACTTTGGACAGCATAAGAGCGACTCCCTGAGTGTGTGGAGCATTGTCCTCTTCGTGACCGGAGTATAGCAGCATCTCTCCCGTAGCTAGCCTTTTCTGTCCAGCTTGGGTCCAGTGGGTTTCGCTGATTCCCAGTACTGCTAAGTTGTATCTCCTCATTTCCGTTGATATTTGGCTGGTCTTCCCGGTTTCCCACATTGTTCGAACGTTCCATGTACCTATAAAAATTTTTGCTCTGGTTGTTAGAAGTGGCATCGGCCTCGTGGCTTCCGAAGGAACTCGGCTTTCACCATGAAGCGTCATAATTCTTCTGAATGAAGACCTTCTAACTCCCAGGGCAGAGTTAAAATGGTTTGGATTATTTTTTCTGGTAAGCGTTTTTTTAGCGAGTTAGTTTTCTACGGGATGGGGACGCTAACCCCATGCCCAACCCTCCTCCTTTACCCGGGCTTGGGACCGGCAGCAACCCTATAAGAGCTACAGGCGGAGTTAAGCACGCTAATTTAGTTTTAAATAATGCAATGTTAGTTATCTCACACTTAATGATTTATTTTGTGACAGAAGGAAATTAAACAACTAGAAGTGATCAAATTATAAATGTTTATTGATTAATAACTTTCAGTTATGTGTTCTGAAATTGTGATAAGATAAAGATACCTGTGGGTTCAACCATGTCAGAAGTGAGAAAATATCGGCATATGTGTTGTTCCATACCATAAACTGTTTAAAATTAGAATGAATGAAGAATTAATTTCTAGATAATCGGTTGTGCTTAAGTGTATTTGACATATGATATGTATGAATGTATTTGGCTAAATCCCGTAAATAAACGCAAACGACATCAAAAAGGGCATTCGTATTTTGGTTTTCAGTGGAACTCTTTATGATGTTAATCTAAGATGAAAATAATGGTGATCAAATCGCTAGAGTTTATTTCTATATTCGATCAAGGAATTACTATTGTGTTGTCATTGACGAAGTTTTAGTTTCAGAAAACTCCCTTAGAATAATATTGCTTATGAAATCACTTCATTGACGACACCATCTCATAAGTTTAGACGACCATTGGATGGATAAACCTAATCCATATATTCAAGAACACAAAAGATGAGTAATATCTCATTATATTAGTAACTATTACTTCGGTATTTTCAACAATTTAAGTTCTCGTGCACATATAGAGAACATCTGAATAGCAGCTGAAAGATTGTAAATGTGATCATGAAATGAAATAACTATTAGCATGATATTGGTTTTATTGCATAGAAAAATATCAGATAAACAATTCAAAATTAAAAGTTTATGAGCTAGTTATTCAAAAGTTACTGTGTTGTTTATATAAAATAATGGATACTTTGTACATAGTTACACCACGTATTTTTTTATTCCAGTATAATGACTCCGATGATATCCCGAATAATTACCGCAGCAGCTATGTAGTGGCTGAAAACTGCAGTCTTACCAATGATCTATCCGAAAACATGGATACGATATGATGATGATACTTTTGTTATTAACAAAAACAATTTACTGAGAAGTACTGACAATTTGCTCAATGGTGTCTTTGACAACATAAAATACACATTACAAGCAGAATCAGACAACAGGTTTCCATTTTTATACATACTGATCACTAGAAGCAATAGTGAAAAGTTTGAGACTCCATCAGATCGAAAACCAAACCATATCGATCAGATACTTAGTTACAGCAGTAATAACACAGCGACTTGGAGAATAAGTTGTACAAAAACAAGATTTGAAAACAGTAAAGACACGTTTCACCACCATCGTTACACGGAGGAATAAAAAAATCATCGATTTAATTTGACAAATGGCAACTCACGAAATTTCATCATGATATGTTTATCAAACTGACTATCAAATACAGAATTAACCATCAAAATTCAATAAACGGGTAGTCTTATCCCAAATGAATGATTATGATTGTTGCAGACAAGAAATGTGTCATCAATATATCTGGATTTATCAGCTTACACATACGTGCCAAAGCTCACGCATTGGACGAACAGAGAGTAGGGTATATGTTCTCATTTCCGAACACGTTACAAAGAATTTGAGACTGAGAGGTCCAATGGATCTGAACAGTACAATAGTTTGGCATTTAATTGATTTCGGGTATGTCGTTACCATTTCGTAATCCCTTGAAGTTTTTAGCAGAAAACAAACGCAGAGTCTCTCCAGTTTCCCGAACTAGTAGCAATAAAAATAACTCAAACCTGGTTTATGGACCCGTCCTCCCTCTCGAAATGCTCTCACACGGCCAGGCGTATACAGCCTCTGCTAAGGAAGTCCTACTCATTGCCTTCTCGTGGCAGGGGTGTTGTTTACAAAAATGAGAGGACGAAAAGCGAATGTCCGGCGCTTTAACCGAATCCCAAACCGATGGTGCACATGGGCTACAGTATCCTCTGGGAACAAATGGCGTATGAACCAATTTTCGGTCACCGGCTAACATGGGACTGCATCTCCTCACGATGCTCCATTGCCTTGTGGGTTAGACCTTTAGGTCAAAGACTTGGGGTGTGGCCACTTAAGAAAACCACCTGCTTCGGTCTAGGCACCTGGTCAGTATTACAGCCCACGCATAAACATGGTGGAAATGACTATATTTACTGGAAACTCTATTCTCGCTTCGATTTACAGTCAAGCAATTCACATTATTATTATTATTATTATTATTATTATTATTATTATTATTTACTATGTCATTTATTCACTCTCTTTTATTCCCACTTTATGTATCCTTATTTTTTGACTTATACAGCAGCTCGCCTATGGTGAAAACTCGGTTCTATCTAAACGTTCTCGAGTCACTGTCCGGTTGAAAATTTTATGTTACCACCGAATATGAGTACTGAAGCAGTTTTTCTGAAACCACGTGCACCATTCAAACTGGCTTCCTTAAACGTTCACACACTTATGCAGGTCGGACAACAGATAGAGCTGACTATGTCTTTAGAAAGTCTTGTTATCGATGTTTGCTGTCTATCCGAGACCCGTATTCAAGACTTTGGTGAAGTACTACAAATTCGCTCTCCATCTGTCGCTTCGAAAAGCTTGTTTTACGTGCGCTTATCCGGAGACCCTGTGGCATCTTCATCTGGTCTTGCTGGCGTTGGTGTCGCACTAAGCGCTAGAGCTGAGGCAGCACTAATCGATTGGATCCCCATTAACAGTCGGTTATGTGCTGTTAGACTAGAGAGTTCCATCAAAGTGAGAAGAAATCGGTGTGAAAAACGATGTCTTTTCGTCATCTCTGCCTATGCCCCGACAGATTGCAGTCCGGATGCAATCAAGGATGAGTTTTACCACCAGTTTTCTGTTCTCCTCCAGAAAGTCCGTTCGACAGATATTGTAGTACTAGCCGGAGACTTGAATGCTCAGGTCGTGCGTCTAGGCACAGAAGACAGTCGTTTAGGTGGCCGATGGGGACTTGTTGGTCGCAGGACAGATAACGGGGACCGTCTACTGCAACTGTGCACAGACCACAACCTGTTTCTGGCTAGCACTAACTTTCGGCACAGTCATCGCCGATGTGCCACCTGGCGTCCTCCATCTGCATCTCAAGCCTGGACTCAGATTGATCACATCACGATCAGCTACCGCTGGCGTGGTTTTTTACAAGACTGCCACTCCTTTTGGAGTACCTATCTGGACTCTGATCATGCCCTTGTCTGCGCCAATCTTACTTTACTTTTCAGTGGCCAACGAAGTGACCGCCACCAAAGAATTGATGTCAGCAAGTTGGTTGCAACTTCTGTCGCTAGTAAGTATCGAACCGAGCTAGTTTCTAGGCTAGCTACCACTCCACCAAAAAGTATAGATGAGCATTGGTTGCAATTGCATGACACCATGAAAATGGCGGGTAGAGTCAGCTGTGGGTTCGCGAAACGTCCCGCTTATAAGCACTGGGTTTCTTCTGGTTCCTTACAGCTCATCGAAGCCCGTCGGTCTACTCCGGGTGACCGTGAGTTTGATCACAAACGAAGGATCTTACGTAAGGAAATTGGGCAAAGCTTGCGTAAGGACCGAGAAGCCTGGTGGTCGAAGCGTGCTAATGAGCTGGAAGCAGCAGCTGCATCTGGTAACTACCGGAAGCTCTTCCAGCTCATCCGAGCCACTGGCAGCAAGAAGTCTGGTGTGAGCGAAACAATCTGTGAGGATAATGGGATGCCAATCACTAACATCCATCGACGTCTTGGACGATGAGCAGAATTTTTCGAAGGGCAGATCAACTGGCCTGCTGCTCCGGCAACATCGGTCGGACTGTCCTGCCCTTCATGGCCGGTGATGACTGATCCACCAAATGAGGCGGAAGTCCGCAAGGAACTCCAACTCTTTAAGCGTTACAAATCACCTGGCCCAGATGACTTACCTCCGGCTCTTTTTTAAGGATGGTGGTGACTTTCTGACTAAGGAACTGACTGTGTTGTTTACAAAGGCTTGGGAGCTAGAGAGTGTACCAACTTCATGGAATGAGTCGATAGTTGTCCCTATCCTTAAAAAGTGTTCACGTCGTTCCTGTAACAACTATCAGGGGATAGGTCTACTTCCGATTGCGTCCAAGCTATTGGCTTCCATCATACTTCGTAGGCTATTCAGAGCCCGAGAAAGATTGACTCGCGAGGAGCAGGCTGGGTTTCGTTCTGGTCGAGGATGTATTGATCATATCTTTACCCTCCGCCAAATGTTAGAACACCGTCATACCTATCAAAGGCAAAAAATCGAAGTGTTTCTTGACATCAGGGCTGCCTTCGATTCGTTGGATAGGACTGTTCTCTGGGATTGTCTATTGAAGAAGGGTGTGTCTGAGAAGTTTATTAACATCCTGAAAGCCCTATATAAAAACACCTCAGGCAGAGTGAGGGCATACAACCACCTTTCTCCATTGTTCCATTCGAGCAGTGGGGTTAGGCAGGGTTGCCCAATCTCACCATTCCTCTTCAACTTTGCCATCGATGACATTCTGGAAACAGCTCTGATGGATGTAAGTGATGGCATTGTGGATCTGTTGCCTGGAGAAAGACTTCTCGACCTTGAGTATGCAGATGGTATTGTCTTACTGTGCGATAATGCCCGAGCCATGCAATCTGCACTTAATCAGTTGGCAATCAATGTCCGTAGGTATAGTATGTGCTTTGCACCTTCGAAGTGCAAAGTACTTCTACAAGACTGGCAGGATCCTAATCCTGTACTCACCCTGGATGGTGAGCAGATAGAAGTAGTCGAGAAGTTCGTGTATCTGAGTAGCTGCATAAGCGCTGGTGGTGGCGTGGGTGATGAGATCAATGCACGTATAGTGAAAGCCAGAGCGGCTTATGCTCATTTGGGCCATCTTTGGCGCCTTCGTGATGTTAGTCTGGCTGTAAAAGGTCGGATCTAAAATGTGTCGGTGAGAGCAGTTCTTCTCTATGCTTGTGAAACCTGGCCTCTCCGAGTTGAGAATGTTAGATGACTCTCTGTGTTTGATCATCGTTGTCTCCGAAGGATTGCTGACACCCAGTGGCAACACCATGTCAGTAATGCAGAGGTTCGGCATCGTGTGTTTGGACACAGAGATGATGATACAATTGGTGTCACCATCTTGAAATACCGACTTCAATGGCTTAGACATGTTCTACGAATGTCATCCCAGAGAACTCCACGTCGTGCATCATTTGCCGACGCTAGGACTGGTTGGAAAAAGAGGAGAGGTGGTCAGTGTATCACATGGTATCAGGGTATGAGAGAAAGCTGCAAAGAGCTGGTCTGTGTTGGTCCTTCACGACTCCCTAGCTGTGGTCCGTGAGATGGTTCAACACAGTGGCTAGAGATGTCATCAGATATGGCTCAGAATAGAAGCCAGTGGTGATCCTGCAGTAACTTTCTTTTGCTTTCTTCATAAAAAAAGGTTGTTCCTTCTGATTGTACTTTTCCGTTTCCCCCATTACTACTATCATTACTACATTACCTTACACTAATCTGTTCGTTACTGTTCTTTCTGTTTCTCTTCGAATTCTCATTGTTTTGTGTGGCGCATAGATACTTGGTGCCCTCTTGGACCAATATTTATGTGTTCAAATAAATAAGTAAATAGATTTACAAATAAAACAGAGAAAAGGATTGACCACCAAAACACATTATTCACAAAATATTTTATAAGGGGAATCACTGAATCATGAAAAAGTAATTGCAAATAATTTGTGAAAAAGATACCTATCTCAAGACATTTCATACAGGATTCACTTATGAACAACAAAGACTGATCAGAACTTAGTCTTTAACATCAACAACGGGAAAAACAAACCTTAACTTGATAAACCTAATATTGACCCTAACTAACTTGGAAGTTTACAATTTCATTAATCAGTTAGCCATCTCTACCCAAAACTTTTCACTTAACATCCGAGCTAGTCACCAAACAATATAACCGTACGTGAGTAATTTTGAATATATTTTACCAAGTATATATTTGTCCCCTTGTAAAATGCAACCACATTATTTGAGATTAACTGTTAGGTTGGTTTGTTACGCTTTCGAATCAGCAGTCTACCAAGTCAAAAGTAATCCTCCATACTAACGTTTCTATTTATTATATCACTTAATTTTTTTTTATTTAATTACTATATTTATATAATAAGACCTCAGTAACTCAATACAAAGACAAAATGTGTTATATACTCCTCCCAATGGAAATAAACTATTGTTCTCATATGTGTACATCTGAAACAATATACCTTAAACTTATTTAAGAAAATATTACACCATGAAATATAAATCTGAGAAAGTCCTTTTCATTCATTTTTGTATTGTTTGCTTGAATCTTCCTATTTATATCTAGGACTGCCATT